TTCGGCTGGGCTGCTCGTGCCCGCTGGCTCCTGCTGGGGACGGGAGTGACGATGGTGATGCTGATGCTGGCTCCGCACAACTCCGCTATATTTCTGGCTGGAGTAAGCTCGGATGCCTTTGGAGCACTCCGCAGCGAACTGGAGCACCAGCAGATCCCAACAATTGGCATGGCCCACTTCAGCAAGGAAGCTGGGAAGGTGCTTTGCGTCATTGACGTGGGGCAATCGGTAGGCCGCATCATGGGCTTGGGCGCCTTTGCCAATGCAGCCTCTACTGCGTGTGACTACGGCAGGATTGCACGCATCAACAAGAGGCCAGTGACTAACAGGGAGAGGCAGATCTGCGCCAGTACCGCCTTTGGCATCATGCTACAGACTGAGCTGTTGATTGGTGCTGTGGCTTCCTCGATCTCCACGTGCTCAGGCGCCCTGAACGTGCCGGCCAACTGCGTTGCAAACGTTGCCGTCTTCAACGGGGCGCTGTCCGTCCTGATGCAGTCCACTCTGGCTGGCGACGCGGTTTGCAACAAGAAGGGCACTATCGACAAGCGAGTGAACAAGCAGATCGCACGGTTTGAGAAGAAGAAGGACAGGGCCAAGATCGAGGCCACCCAGTTCTTGAAGCGTCAGGGCTATGATGTTGCGGTGCTTCCACGACCTCCCGCCATTTCAAACAGAGCGGTCTACAGCTCCATCAACCGATGCGTCTTCCAGACCATCCTGGGAACGACTTTCGTCATGAAGGCTGCCATCCTTCTGGGTGATTCCACCATTCACTGCTACCCAGGAACCGACAAGCAGCGTGTTTGTGCTGTTGACATCATGGGTCTGTTCGCTGTTTTGTCCTTGGCGGTCCGATTCCTTTCATTCGCTGGGGACTCCTGCATCGACATCATCGGCCGCACGGACGACAATGCTCTGTGTGTGGGCCTGTGGGCTGGCGTTCCTGGTGGCGTCCTCGGTATGGCAGCAGCTGGAACCAATCTGGAAGCTGCTTGCAAGACAGCCTTCGGAAAGTGGGTTCCCGAAGACTGGCCCTACGAAGGAGCAAACATGCTGCCCTCGGATGACTTTGCCGCGCTTGCCGAGGCATGAGTAGGCGAACGACAGTCACAACACGCCCAGCCAGTGGTGGCCAAGTTGTCTAGCAGTGTTTCTTTCATCAACACGGGTGTTGTGAAGCATGTGTCACTCTGGTTCTTTGAAAAGAACCTCTGGCCGGTTTTGATTCATCTTCAAATTCTGATGTCTTGGCTCTTTGCGGAGCAAGTGTCAAGATGCAGCATGATGGAGCGCTACTTTTCCTTTCTGGGACAACCGTTGAGGAACACACGGCCACCACGGCCGTGGAAGCGCACAAGATGAATTGTCTCCGATGACTTCTGTTGAACAAATTGCCTCATGCCTTGCAGCTTGGTTGACAACTGCGGCAGATTCTGAACAAGTTTAGGCTCACTCCTGCTTTCTGTTGAAAGACTTTGTTGCCGAATTCCTGCAAAGTCTACCAACCAGTGTTTGCGGCTCCTGTCTAGCTAACTTGAAGCGCCACAAGAGGCGTGCTCTCGAGGACAAGCATGGCTAGGACAGGCATGGCGATGACACCTTACGAAGAGGCACCTGCAAAGGAGGACACCGAGATTCTGCTGGAGCCGCAGGACCCGCAGCCTGACGCTCCGGCCACTCGCACTTCGCAATTCGGCTGGGCTGCTCGTGCCCGCTGGCTCCTGCTGGGGACGGGAGTGACGATGGTGATGCTGATGCTGGCTCCGCACAACTCCGCTATGTTTCTGGCTGGAGTAAGCTCGGATGCCTTTGGAGCACTCCGCAGCGAACTGGAGCACCAGCAGATCCCAACAATTGGCATGGCCCACTTCAGCAAGGAAGCTGGGAAGGTGCTTTGCGTCATTGACGTGGGTCAATCGGTTGGCCGCATCATGGGCTTGGGCGCCTTCGCCAATGCAGCCTCCACTGCGTGTGATTACGGCAGGATTGCACGCATCAACAAGAGGCCAGTGACTAACAGGGAGAGGCAGATCTGCGCCAGTACCGCCTTTGGCATCATGCTACAGACTGAGCTGTTGATTGGTGCTGTGGCTTCCTCGATCTCCACGTGCTCAGGTGCCCTGAACGTGCCGGCCAACTGCGTTGCAAACGTTGCCGTCTTCAATGGGGCGCTGTCCGTTCTGATGCAGTCCACGCTGGCTGGTGACGCGGTTTGCAACAAGAAGGGCACCATCGACAAGAGGGTGAACAAGCAGATCGCAAGGTTTGAGAAGAAGAAGGACAGGGCCAAGATCGAGGCCACCCAGTTCTTGAAGCGTCAGGGCTATGATGTTGCGGTGCTTCCACGACCTCCCGCCATTTCAAACAGAGCGGTCTACAGCTCCATCAACCGATGCGTCTTCCAGACCATCCTGGGAACGACTTTCGTCATGAAGGCTGCCATCCTTCTGGGTGATTCCACCATTCACTGCTACCCAGGAACCGACAAGCAGCGTGTTTGTGCTGTTGACATCATGGGTCTATTCGCTGTTTTGTCCTTGGCGGTCCGATTCCTTTCATTCGCTGGGGACTCCTGCATCGACATCATCGGCCGCACGGACGACAATGCTCTGTGTGTGGGCCTGTGGGCTGGCGTTCCTGGTGGCGTCCTCGGTATGGCAGCAGCTGGAACCAATCTGGAAGCTGCTTGCAAGACAGCCTTCGGAAAGTGGGTTCCCGAAGACTGGCCCTACGAAGGAGCAAACATGCTGCCCTCGGATGACTTTGCCGCGCTTGCCGAGGCATGAGTAGGCGAACGACAGTCACAACACGCCCAGCCAGTGGTGGCCAAGTTGTCTAGCAGTGCTTCTTTCATCAACACAGGTGTTGTGAAGCATGTGTCACTCTGGTTCTTTAAAAAAGAACCTCTGGCCGGTTTTGATTCATCTTCCATTTCTGATGTCTTGGCACTTTGTGGAGCGAGTGTCAAGATGCAGCATGATGGAGCGCTACTTTTTCTTTCTGGGACAACCGTTCCGCAAGAGACGGCCACCACGGCCGTGCAAGCGCACAAGATCAATTTAGTTTTAGTTCTGTTGTTAGAGCTGCGCGTGATCAACTTTGTCCGACGACTTCTGTTGAACAAATTGCCTCATGCCTTGCAGCTTGGTTGACAACTGCGGCAGATTCTGAACATGTTTAGGCTTATCCTGCTTTCTGTTGAAAGACTTTGTTGCCGAACTCCTGCAAAGTCTACCAACCAGTGTTTGCGGCTCCTGTCTAGCTAACTTGAAGCGCCACAAGAGGCGTGCTCTCGAGGACAGGCATGGCTAGGACAGGCATGGCGATGACACCTTACGAAGAGGCACCTGCAAAGGAGGACACCGAGATTCTGCTGGAGCCGCAGGACCCGCAGCCTGACGCTCCGGCCACCCGCACTTCGCAATTCGGCTGGGCTGCTCGTGCCCGCTGGCTCCTGCTGGGGACGGGAGTGACGATGGTGATGCTGATGCTGGCTCCGCACAACTCCGCTATATTTCTGGCTGGAGTAAGCTCGGATGCCTTTGGAGCACTCCGCAGCGAACTGGAGCACCAGCAGATCCCAACAATTGGCATGGCCCACTTCAGCAAGGAAGCTGGGAAGGTGCTTTGCGTCATTGACGTGGGTCAATCGGTTGGCCGCATCATGGGCTTGGGCGCCTTCGCCAATGCAGCCTCCACTGCGTGTGACTACGGCAGGATTGCACGCATCAACAAGAGGCCAGTGACTAACAGGGAGAGGCAGATCTGCGCCAGTACCGCCTTTGGCATCATGCTACAGACTGAGCTGTTGATTGGTGCTGTGGCTTCCTCGATCTCCACGTGCTCAGGTGCCCTGAACGTGCCGGCCAACTGCGTTGCAAACGTTGCCGTCTTCAACGGGGCGCTGTCCGTCCTGATGCAGTCCACTCTGGCTGGTGACGCGGTTTGCAACAAGAAGGGCACCATCGACAAGAGGGTGAACAAGCAGATCGCAAGGTTTGAGAAGAAGAAGGACAGGGCCAAGATCGAGGCCACCCAGTTCTTGAAGCGTCAGGGCTATGATGTTGCGGTGCTTCCACGACCTCCCGCCATTTCAAACAGAGCGGTCTACAGCTCCATCAACCGATGCGTCTTCCAGACCATCCTGGGAACGACTTTCGTCATGAAGGCTGCCATCCTTCTGGGTGATTCCACCATTCACTGCTACCCAGGAACCGACAAGCAGCGTGTTTGTGCTGTTGACATCATGGGTCTATTCGCTGTTTTGTCCTTGGCGGTCCGATTCCTTTCATTCGCTGGGGACTCCTGCATCGACATCATCGGCCGCACGGACGACAATGCTCTGTGTGTGGGCCTGTGGGCTGGCGTTCCTGGTGGCGTCCTCGGTATGGCAGCAGCTGGAACCAATCTGGAAGCTGCTTGCAAGACAGCCTTCGGAAAGTGGGTTCCCGAAGACTGGCCCTACGAAGGAGCAAACATGCTGCCCTCGGATGACTTTGCCGCGCTTGCCGAGGCATGAGTAGGCGAACGACAGTCACAACACGCCCAGCCAGTGGTGGCCAAGTTGTCTAGCAGTGTTTCTTTCATCAACACGGGTGTTGTGAAGCATGTGTCACTCTGGTTCTTTGAAAAGAACCTCTGGCCGGTTTTGATTCATCTTCAAATTCTGATGTCTTGGCTCTTTGCGGAGCAAGTGTCAAGATGCAGCATGATGGAGCGCTACTTTTCCTTTCTGGGACAACCGTTGAGGAACACACGGCCACCACGGCCGTGGAAGCGCACAAGATGAATTGTCTCCGATGACTTCTGTTGAACAAATTGCCTCATGCCTTGCAGCTTGGTTGACAACTGCGGCAGATTCTGAACAAGTTTAGGCTCACTCCTGCTTTCTGTTGAAAGACTTTGTTGCCGAATAACCAGTGTTTGCGGCTCCTGTCCAGCTAACTTGAAGCGCCACAAGAGGCGTGCTCTCGAGGACAAGCATGGCTAGGACAGGCATGGCGATGACACCTTACGAAGAGGCACCTGCAAAGGAGGACACCGAGATTCTGCTGGAGCCGCAGGACCCGCAGCCTGACGCTCCGGCCACTCGCACTTCGCAATTCGGCTAGGCTGCTCGTGCCCGCTGGCTCCTGTTGGGGACGGGAGTGACGATGGTGATGCTGATGCTGGCTCCGCACAACTCCGCTATATTTCTGGCTGGAGTAAGCTCGGATGCCTTTGGAGCACTCCGCAGCGAACTGGAGCACCAGCAGATCCCAACAATTGGCATGGCCCACTTCAGCAAGGAAGCTGGGAAGGTGCTTTGCGTCATTGACGTGGGTCAATCGGTTGGCCGCATCATGGGCTTGGGCGCCTTCGCCAATGCAGCCTCCACTGCGTGTGACTACGGCAGGATTGCACGCATCAATAAGAGGCCAGTGACTAACAGGGAGAGGCAGATCTGCGCCAGTACCGCCTTTGGCATCATGCTACAGACTGAGCTGTTGATTGGTGCTGTGGCTTCCTCGATCTCCACGTGCTCAGGTGCCCTGAACGTGCCGGCCAACTGCGTTGCAAACGTTGCCGTCTTCAATGGGGCGCTGTCCGTTCTGATGCAGTCCACGCTGGCTGGTGACGCGGTTTGCAACAAGAAGGGCACCATCGACAAGAGGGTGAACAAGCAGATCGCAAGGTTTGAGAAGAAGAAGGACAGGGCCAAGATCGAGGCCACCCAGTTCTTGAAGCGTCAGGGCTATGATGTTGCGGTGCTTCCACGACCTCCCGCCATTTCAAACAGAGCGGTCTACAGCTCCATCAACCGATGCGTCTTCCAGACCATCCTGGGAACGACTTTCGTCATGAAGGCTGCCATCCTTCTGGGTGATTCCACCATTCACTGCTACCCAGGAACCGACAAGCAGCGTGTTTGTGCTGTTGACATCATGGGTCTGTTCGCTGTTTTGTCCTTGGCGGTCCGATTCCTTTCATTCGCTGGGGACTCCTGCATCGACATCATCGGCCGCACGGACGACAATGCTCTGTGTGTGGGCCTGTGGGCTGGCGTTCCTGGTGGCGTCCTCGGTATGGCAGCAGCTGGAACCAATCTGGAAGCTGCTTGCAAGACAGCCTTCGGAAAGTGGGTTCCCGAAGACTGGCCCTACGAAGGAGCAAACATGCTGCCCTCGGATGACTTTGCCGCGCTTGCCGAGGCATGAGTAGGCGAACGACAGTCACAACACGCCCAGCCAGTGGTGGCCAAGTTGTCTAGCAGTGCTTCTTTCATCAACACAGGTGTTGTGAAGCATGTGTCACTCTGGTTCTTTAAAAAAGAACCTCTGGCCGGTTTTGATTCATCTTCCATTTCTGATGTCTTGGCACTTTGTGGAGCGAGTGTCAAGATGCAGCATGATGGAGCGCTACTTTTTCTTTCTGGGACAACCGTTCCGCAAGAGACGGCCACCACGGCCGTGCAAGCGCACAAGATCAATTTAGTTTTAGTTCTGTTGTTAGAGCTGCGCGTGATCAACTTTGTCCGACGACTTCTGTTGAACAAATTGCCTCATGCCTTGCAGCTTGGTTGACAACTGCGGCAGATTCTGAACATGTTTAGGCTTATCCTGCTTTCTGTTGAAAGACTTTGTTGCCGAACTCCTGCAAAGTCTACCAACCAGTGTTTGCGGCTCCTGTCTAGCTAACTTGAAGCGCCACAAGAGGCGTGCTCTCGAGGACAGGCATGGCTAGGACAGGCATGGCGATGACACCTTACGAAGAGGCACCTGCAAAGGAGGACACCGAGATTCTGCTGGAGCCGCAGGACCCGCAGCCTGACGCTCCGGCCACCCGCACTTCGCAATTCGGCTGGGCTGCTCGTGCCCGCTGGCTCCTGCTGGGGACGGGAGTGACGATGGTGATGCTGATGCTGGCTCCGCACAACTCCGCTATGTTTCTGGCTGGAGTAAGCTCGGATGCCTTTGGAGCACTCCGCAGCGAACTGGAGCACCAGCAGATCCCAACAATTGGCATGGCCCACTTCAGCAAGGAAGCTGGGAAGGTGCTTTGCGTCATTGACGTGGGTCAATCGGTTGGCCGCATCATGGGCTTGGGCGCCTTCGCCAATGCAGCCTCCACTGCGTGTGACTACGGCAGGATTGCACGCATCAACAAGAGGCCAGTGACTAACAGGGAGAGGCAGATCTGCGCCAGTACCGCCTTTGGCATCATGCTACAGACTGAGCTGTTGATTGGTGCTGTGGCTTCCTCGATCTCCACGTGCTCAGGTGCCCTGAACGTGCCGGCCAACTGCGTTGCAAACGTTGCCGTCTTCAATGGGGCGCTGTCCGTTCTGATGCAGTCCACGCTGGCTGGTGACGCGGTTTGCAACAAGAAGGGCACCATCGACAAGAGGGTGAACAAGCAGATCGCAAGGTTTGAGAAGAAGAAGGACAGGGCCAAGATCGAGGCCACCCAGTTCTTGAAGCGTCAGGGCTATGATGTTGCGGTGCTTCCACGACCTCCCGCCATTTCAAACAGAGCGGTCTACAGCTCCATCAACCGATGCGTCTTCCAGACCATCCTGGGAACGACTTTCGTCATGAAGGCTGCCATCCTTCTGGGTGATTCCACCATTCACTGCTACCCAGGAACCGACAAGCAGCGCGTTTGTGCTGTTGACATCATGGGTCTATTCGCTGTTTTGTCCTTGGCGGTCCGATTCCTTTCATTCGCTGGGGACTCCTGCATCGACATCATCGGCCGCACGGACGACAATGCTCTGTGTGTGGGCCTGTGGGCTGGCGTTCCTGGTGGTGTCCTGGGTATGGCAGCAGCTGGAACCAATCTGGAAGCTGCTTGCAAGACAGCCTTCGGAAAGTGGGTTCCCGAAGACTGGCCCTACGAAGGAGCAAACATGCTGCCCTCGGATGACTTTGCCGCGCTTGCTGAGGCATGAGTAGGCGAACGACAGTCACAATACGCGCAAGTTGTCTAGCAGTGCTTCTTTCATCAACACGGGTGTTGTGAAGCATGTGCCACTCTGGTTCTTTAAAAAAGAACCTCTGGCCGGTTTTGATTCATCTTCCATTTCTGATGTCTTGGCACTTTGTGGAGCGAGTGTCAAGATGCAGCATGATGGAGCGCTACTTTTCCTTTCTGGGACAACCGTTCCGCAACAGACGGCCACTACGGCCGCGGCGCACAAGATCGAATTTGTCTGACGACGTCAGCTGAACAGATTTCAATAGATTTCAGATTGCCTCATGCCTTGCAGCGTGGTTGACAGCTGCAGCAGGTTCTGAACATGTTTAGGCTTACTGCTGCTTGCTGTTGAAAAACCCTGTTGCCGAATTCCAGCATTCTCGGCTCCTGGCTAGTTAGCCTGAAGCGCCACAAAAGGCGTGCTCTTGAGGACAAGCATGGCTAGGACAGGCACGGCGATGACACCTTACGAAGAGGCACCTGCAAAGGAGGATGCTGAGATTCTGCTGGAGCCGCAGGACCCGCAGCCTGACGCGCCGGCCACTCGCACTTCGCAATTCGGCTGGGCTGCTCGTGCCCGCTGGCTCCTGCTGGGGACGGGAGTGACGATGGTGATGCTGATGCTAGCTCCGCACAACTCGGCCATGTTTTTGGCGGGAGTAAGCTCGGATGCCTTTGGAGCACTCCGCAGCGAACTGGAGCACCAGCAGATCCCAACAATTGGCATGGCCCACTTCAGCAAGGAAGCTGGGAAGGTGCTTTGCGTCATTGACGTGGGGCAATCCGTTGGCCGCATCATGGGCTTGGGCGCCTTTGCCAATGCAGCCTCCACTGCGTGTGACTACGGCAGGATTGCACGCATCAACAAGAGGCCAGTGACTAACAGGGAGAGGCAGATCTGCGCCAGTACCGCCTTTGGCATCATGCTACAGACTGAGCTGTTGATTGGTGCTGTGGCTTCCTCGATCTCCACGTGCTCGGGCGCCTTGAACGTGCCGGCCAACTGCGTTGCAAACGTTGCCGTCTTCAATGGCGCGCTGTCCGTCCTAATGCAGTCCACGCTGGCTGGTGACGCGGTTTGCAACAAGAAGGGCACCATCGACAAGAGGGTGAACAAGCAGATCGCAAGGTTCGAGAAGAAGAAGGACAGGGCCAAGATCGAGGCCACCCAGTTCTTGAAGCGTCAGGGCTATGATGTTGCGGTGCTTCCACGACCTCCCGCCATTTCAAACAGAGCGGTCTACAGCTCCATCAACCGATGCGTCTTCCAGACCATCCTGGGAACGACTTTCGTCATGAAGGCTGCCATCCTTCTGGGTGATTCCACCATTCACTGCTACCCAGGAACCGACAAGCAGCGTGTTTGTGCTGTTGACATCATGGGTCTGTTCGCTGTTTTGTCCTTGGCGGTCCGATTCCTTTCATTCGCTGGGGACTCCTGCATCGACATCATCGGCCGCACGGACGACAATGCTCTGTGTGTGGGCCTGTGGGCTGGCGTTCCTGGTGGCGTCCTCGGTATGGCAGCAGCTGGAACCAATCTGGAAGCTGCTTGCAAGACAGCCTTCGGAAAGTGGGTTCCCGAAGACTGGCCCTACGAAGGAGCAAACATGCTGCCCTCGGATGACTTTGCCGCGCTTGCTGAGGCATGAGTAGGCGAACGACAGTCACAATACGCGCAAGTTGTCTAGCAGTGCTTCTTTCATCAACACGGGTGTTGTGAAGCATGTGCCACTCGGGTTCTTTAAAACAGAACCTCTGGCCTGTTTTGATTCATCTTCCATTTCTGATGTCTTGGCACTTTGTGGAGCGAGTGTCAAGATGCAGCATGATGGAGCGCTACTTTTCCTTTCTGGGACAACCGTTCCGCAACAGACGGCCACTACGGCCGCGGCGCACAAGATCGAATTTGTCTGACGACGTCAGCTGAACAGATTTCAGATTGCCTCATGCCTTGCAGCGTGGTTGACAGCTTCAGCAGATTCTGAACATGTTTAGGCTTACTGCTGCTTGCTGTTAAGAGGCCTTATTGCCGAATTCCAGCATTCTCGGCTCCTGGCTAGTTAGCTTGAAGCGCCACAAAAGGCGTGCTCTTGAGGACAAGCATGGCTGGGACAGGCACGGCGATGACGCCTTACGAAGAGGCACCTGCAAAGCAGGACACCGAGATTCTGCTGGAGCCGCAGGACCCGCAGCCTGACGCGCCGGCCACTCGCACTTCGCAATTCGGCTGGGCTGCTCGTGCCCGCTGGCTCTTGCTGGGGACAGGAGTGACGATGGTGATGCTGATGCTGGCTCCGCACAACTCCGCTATGTTTCTGGCTGGAGTAAGCTCGGATGCCTTTGGAGCACTCCGCAGCGAACTGGAGCACCAGCAGATCCCAACAATTGGCATGGCCCACTTCAGCAAGGAAGCTGGGAAGGTGCTTTGCGTCATTGACGTTGGGCAATCCGTTGGCCGCATCATGGGCTTGGGCGCCTTCGCCAATGCAGCCTCCACTGCGTGTGACTACGGCAGGATTGCACGCATCAATAAGAGGCCAGTGACTAATAGGGAGAGGCAGATCTGCGCCAGTACCGCCTTTGGCATCATGCTACAGACTGAGCTGTTGATTGGTGCTGTGGCTTCCTCGATCTCCACGTGCTCAGGCGCCCTGAACGTGCCGGCCAACTGCGTTGCAAACGTTGCCGTCTTCAACGGGGCGCTGTCCGTCCTGATGCAGTCCACTCTGGCTGGTGACGCGGTTTGCAACAAGAAGGGCCCCATCGACAAGCGGGTGAACAAGCAGATCGCAAGGTTTGAGAAGAAGAAGGACAGGGCCAAGATCGAGGCCACCCAGTTCTTGAAGCGTCAGGGCTATGATGTTGCGGTGCTTCCACGACCTCCCGCCATTTCAAACAGAGCGGTCTACAGCTCCATCAACCGATGCGTCTTCCAGACCATCCTGGGAACGACTTTCGTCATGAAGGCTGCCATCCTTCTGGGTGATTCCACCATTCACTGCTACCCAGGAACCGACAAGCAGCGTGTTTGTGCTGTTGACATCATGGGTCTATTCGCTGTTTTGTCCTTGGCGGTCCGATTCCTTTCATTCGCTGGGGACTCCTGCATCGACATCATCGGCCGCACGGACGACAATGCTCTGTGTGTGGGCCTGTGGGCTGGCGTTCCTGGTGGTGTCCTGGGTATGGCAGCAGCTGGAACCAATCTGGAAGCTGCTTGCAAGACAGCCTTTGGAAA